AAACGAAAGACTTAGGCAACAAACTCTAGCAAGTGGCCAGCATGGGCCGGGCACTTTTAATTAGTTAACGTGCACGTTAACGTTAACGTGCACGTCAACCAAAAGCGGCCCAAAGGCAATTGAAATCGAGCATCCTACGGGCGCGCGCGCCGGCCAATAAATTAAACGCCAAATTACTTTTAGTTGTAGCTGCCAATGCCGCAGGCCGCATTCATATGCAAATGCCATACAAAATACACACACAAATGAAATGTGTTTAAGCCAAAAAATGCAGCAGCGGCAGCAGCAGCGGCAGCAGCAACGGGCTGCAGTGAATGAATAAAAAAACCAATTTAATTTAAATGAAATTCAGTTTGTGCAGGTAACAGACCCAAGCTACTTTTTGTTGTTGCTGCTGCTGCTGCTGCTGCCTGTGTTGTGGCTGGAACGGAAACGGGCCAAGTTCTAGAGTCCATAAACTGAACGATTTGGTCGCGCTGCTGCAGACAAATCCCGGCTTAAAGTCATTCCAAAAATGGTTTGTTTACCTTGCGGGATTAACCAACTGCTGTTGGCATTTATATTTCATTTATTTTGTGTGTGTGTGTTTTTTTTCATTTTGGGATTTCGAAATATTTGAATGGCCAAGTTTATTGGGCTGACAAAAGAAGCGGCCAAGAAATATAACAAAACAAAAATTGCTGTCACTTATTAGGCATTTTTAATTGTTCAAGTGCCGCTGCGCACACTACAGGTGTGTGTGTGTGTGTGTGTGTGTGTGTGTTCAATTAAAAAGTAATTTGCCTAACAAACAAACAACTTCACAAAAAGCAGCGACCAGCTCAGCTCAAATAAAAGAGCAGCAGCCGCAGCAGCTGAAAAAAAAAAACCCAACAGACGCCCACACATTTCCGTTTCTCTCGGCCCACTCTCGAAATAATGTTAACCAATTTTTGTTGTACTTTTGTTTGTTTTTGTTGCCGCAATGCTTGGCGCATTTTAATACACAGATGAAAAACAAGTTTGTAAACTAATTTGCAGCCGCTTGACAATATTGCCCGTCATTTAAAACTAGAAAAAATACAGCCAGCGACACACAAAGAAACTAATGGAAATACAAATACAAATACAGATTCAGCTACAAATATAGATATAGATATAGATATAGATATAGATATAGATATAGATATAGATATAGATATAGATATAGATATAGATATAGATATAGATATAGATATAGATATAGATATAGATATAGATAGAGATATAGATATAGATATAGATATAGATATAGATATAGATATAGATATAGATATAGATATAGATATAGATATAGATATAGATATAGATATAGATATAGATATAGATATAGATATAGATATAGATATAGATATAGATATAGATATAGATATAGATATAGATATAGATATAGATATAGATATAGATATAGATATAGATATAGATATAGATATAGATATAGATGCACATGATTCTGTGTTTGTGGAATTATAAAAAAACGGACTATAATTTTCATTTAAGTCAAAGAAGTTTCTTTTACTAAAGTATTATGAATGAGTATATCATATGAAATATGTATCAATATAATTTAGAAATATATATTTATAGTTAGAAAATGTATGTAATCAATAAACAGAAAAACATACATTAGCTGTCTGAGCGTCGGACTGGCAAGCGCCAAGTCGCTGGTTCAAACCCAAAGAAATGAAAAGTGAACAATAAAGTCAAATTTTTCTATTAAGTTTGTTCAACTAGCAAGCTGTCATATGTATGCCATGGCAAGTCTTTCCCAATGACAGACAAATATATATGCGTATTTCTTCCTATTAAATTTTTAAGTATTTTCAAAGAACATGACATATTCAGCGGACTCCGCAGCTGGCAGCGTATTAGCTGATGACTGAAAACCAACCCAAGTTCACAGCCCACGCATCGCCCGCGACGACGTCGGCGCCGCCAACGCACGTGCATAATGCTAAATCGACTGTTAATTGCGACATTTCGAAAGTCAAGACCCGCATAAAAAAAAACACGCCATATACTTATCACATATGCCAGAGAGCGTACCATAAAGCGTCTGTTTTACAGCTCAAAAACTAATCAAAGAAAAACAAAAACAAGAAAACGGAAGAAAGCCAACTTGATATGACTTTTCTTTCTTCTTCTTTCAATTTGCCTCTAAATGGCATTAAATGAGCCGAACGACTGCCTGTGTGTGTGCGTGTGTGTGTGTGTGTGTGTGGGCGTGGTCAAGCGGCGAGCAGTTGGTCTAAAGTTGATATAAAGTTGCGTTGCGGAAATAGATTCGAAATGGATCAAATTAATATTATTGTACGAATGTAAGAGGCTGCTTGACAATGCGGCTAACATGCCACACACACACACACACACACGCACACTGTGGTATGTTAGCCCACACGTAGCGACATCAGCGTCTGTGAAAAGCACCGAAAAACCCACACACAAAATGCCAGCCGCTTAACTTGTATGTCAAGAAATTGTAGATGCTGTTTGTTGTTGTTGTTGTTGTTATTGTTGCTGTTGTTGTTGGCTGTACGAGTATTGGATGCTGCGGAGGAGTATGCTAAGTGAATGGCTCTAGCTGTGCACTGCGAGAAATGTGCTAGTGCTTTGTTCATTAGCAAAGAAATTGCCCACATCCAAACAAGAGCACGAATTTGAGTACATAAATAAAATTGAAATGCAGCTGCAGCGAAATGCGACGCGTTCAAAAGTTGTTCTTAATATGTGCACAAAACGCAGCTATTTATTTGATTGCCGCTGCGGCGACATACTTATCGATATCAAGTGGACAGCAGCAGCTGCTGTTGTTGTTGTTGTTGTTGTTGCTGCTGCTGCTGCCAGTTGCCAAATTTGGCAACTTGTTGTGGAGCAGCAACAACAATGAAATAACAGCCACAGCAAGTAGCACAGTTGTATTTCTTGTGAAGACTTTCCTGCTGCAAAATGACGGCTTATAAATGACGCCCACAGCCAGGCCAAACAAAAGAGTTAGGCAACGAACTTGCTACACACACACACAAAAGAACAACAACTGCGGCTGAGCAAACCAAGCGGCTAATGAGCACATGTAAAGCAGTAAAAAATTTATATAAACATTAATTATGTACATTTATTTCGGAAACCCCCCCCCCCTCCCCTCCACCACTCCCCCCTCGCACACCTTGTCTCCCGCTTATTTGTGTTTTATTTTGTGCTGTTGCCCGAAAAAGGAAACGTCGTGGGCGTACGAAATGAAATGAAAATAAAACTATGTTTATGTGCAACTGGAGAGCGCGGGAGCATGCTGTGAAAATTATGAACTATGTAAAGGAAATTAGAAAACATGAAAAGGTTGTTGAATAAAAGTCGAAAGAGAGAAACGAAAGACAACAACGACAAAGCGCTAATTGCGCTTAAACTGAATAGCTGCCTGTGTGTGTGCGTGTGTGTGTGAGTGTGCGAGTGTGTGGCTGTGCGTGGCTGTGTGTGTGGCTGTGTGTAAGGTGCGTAGGTTGAACAAACTTCTTGTCGGGGCCCGCTTGGAGCCATTCAAGCTGTCAACAACAACAACAACAGCAATCACATTACATTTAACTCTTTCGTCTGGGTTTTCATTTTCTTCAATATGCACACACACACATACATAAACACATGTCCGTGTGTGTATGTGTGTGTTTATAATTTTTGAAAACTTTAACGCATTTTGGATTTTAAATGACAGCAGGGAGTCGCAATAATTGCCGCGCAACGGAAGTGCGGCTGTCCAACAAAGTTAGCAGCATTTAATGAGCTCAAACAGCTCAACCAAAACCTCATGACGCAATGCACATTTAGATTTTACATAAATTAATAATAATAATAATAATAATAAAATTATATATATAAGCTCTGAAAGAGTTCAATTGTCTATGTCAAATGTTGCTGTGATAAAATATTGCTGCCATAAATAATGCAATAATTACATATTACTTAAGAAACTGATATGAAAAAAGCCTAAATAATATAATAGTGTGGGCTTTAACACAAATTTCAACGATTCAAATTGATCTTGATTTGTTCCTAAATAATATAATAGATAAGGCTTTAAAGCAAAGTTCATACGTTCAAATTCATCTTGAGTTTTTCTGTCTGCGCTTTAAACAACGCAATGTAATGTATTCCGCTTAAGAACAATTCAAAGGAACAGAATTTACATTTAAATAGGTTTGGATATAGATAACTGAGAACAAAACTATTTTTGGTTGTTTTGTCAACTTAAATGCTGTCATGTGTATTCTTAGGCAAAAATCTTACGGGGGGGAGAAACTTGCCTGGGCGCAAATATATATTTCAATATTATATCTTCGAAAACTTTACATTTCATTTAAATTTCTCTTATCGTTCGATATTTGTGCCGAATACTTTTCATATCAATTCCTTCCCTGCCAAAGAAAGCGGAAGAGTATTCAGATAATCCATTATAGAAAATGAAACCTAGAAATTAGAAAAACGAATCCGTGTTGCCTAATTTACCCATAATAAAGGCCTCTTTTAACTGCCCGCTTACCCCACCATCAGCGATATTATTAGCTCTAAATTCGAAGCCTGAGGCCAGCTCGAATAAAAGCATCATTAGACAACAATTTGCAATTAAGAACATTTCCAGTCAACACACAATTTGATATAGTCGGGGCATTCAGCTATATATAGATGGCGCATATGGATCAGGCAAACCGAGCTTTAACAGGCACATTTAACAGGCACATTTGACATGCAGATCAGGTGGGCGTTGTCAGTTGGCTGACAGTATATTATAAATTTTGGGCAATAGTATAATCAACAACAATGTCGCTGCTATTGAATAAACATTTTGCTGGTAACGTAGCAAATTTAATGGCCCACATTTTTAAAAAACTGCTTTAAAAGTAAAAATCAAAAGGCCCATAAATAAAGGGCGACAGATAAATGTGTGTGTGTTTACCATAAAATTAACTCGGTGGCGTTACAAAAATAAGACTCACCTTAGTTTGGGCCACATTTTGTCGAAGCAGCTAGCTATTTGTATTTGTCTGGAGTCTCTGCCTTCCTCTCGCTGTCTTCGATTTATCAGCGTGCGAAACTTAAATAGCAGTATTTGCGAGACGATAACCGGGCCGATTTATCAGTCAACGAGCGACGTTTATAGATCGTTGCGAATGTGTGTCCACTGAGACAATAAACCGCATTAACTTGGCCGAATGTTTTGTCTACCTGACTGACTGACAGACCAGACAGAGCAGAGCAGAGCTGAGCTGGGCTGAGAAACGGTTGCTGCTCCAGAAAATGCGATAAAGATCTTTACGGTGCACTTGGCTGGGCCTCGGCCTGGGCCTGGGTCTAGTAGGTAACAATAATAACAATGCGCCGCTCAGTTGACACCGTTGGACCGGGAGAGGGACAGCGACAGGCTAAGGGACAGGGACATGACGCACCAGCACACAGTACACAGAATTTCATTCATGAATGAGCGTTGAATACAAGTACAATAATCAAATACGACTATCAGACACACAAAGAACCGGAAACGGATGCGACGACGTTTGCTTTTTTTTCTGTTTGTTTTCTGTTGCCTCTAGCCGGCTGCAGGACTCGTTAAGGGCTGTCCGCGTTTCAGGTAAGCGTTAGCACAACCAAACAATAAAAATGCCGACGGCCATTCAGAATTGTCAAATTTACATTTACAAGCGCGTTTGCATTTGCATTTGTCGGCTCAGATGCATTTCACGTTTTTGCCGTCTCGACATTTATGTTTTATGGTTTTTGCTACACAACAAACGAACGAACGACTGAAGCAACGAACTTTGCACTGCACAAAGTTTGCGCACACTTTATTTATTATTTACACAACTGTTGCAGGCACACACTGAGAAATTGAGAAAAACAGAGGCACGTTTCGAGAACAGCTAAGCAGCTGCCAGCAACTGATCGCGCCGACGACAAAAACTCGACTAACTCAACTCAGTAACGCGCAGGTAAACGAGCTCGCGCCCGGCCCGACACACAATGATGATTCGTACAGTATTTCATTCACAAATACTGGTCGCCGCTTCAGCTGCTGCCCAGTGCTGTCAGTTCAGCCGTTTTCTGACTGAATTAGCCTGTTTTCAGAGGTCGGCTACTTCACAAACTTGAAAATTTCCATGTTTATTGCACATGTTTTCTCAGAAAGCTACTTCGGCTATTTTCCACACTGAATATACTCACTTTTTGAAGCGACAGCTGTCAACACTAGTCATAACTTGAGCACTTAATCATATGGTCCATATTGCCAAATAACAGTCAGCTTCTCTTTTGCAGCGGCAGCTGGTCACACTGATCCCAGCATTATCGCCTCCATCCAATGAACTTGTCAATCAAAGTCTGCTAAATTCTAGCTATTTTTTTAACATTGCATTCAGCTACTTTTTTGCAGCAGCAGTTGCCAACACTGGCGCTGAGTCAGGCCGCAGCTCGAATGACCACTCGACCGCTTCAGCGCTGTGTGGGCAGCAGCAGCAGCAGGCGGCAGGCAGCAGGCTTTGAATTGTACATTTCAACGCAGACAATTCCACAAAAGTTGCACTGCGGCTGGCCAAAGATTGCGATTGCATGCCAGCCATATTTGGCCAATACACACACACACACACACAGTCACAGCCGTGTAACCCAAATTCTGTTTGAAAACTAAGGCCAAGATCGTCTGGAGCATGGCTGGAAAAAAAATAAATAAATCACAGATAGAAAAAGTTCTCACACTCGCGCGGCAATCGCATGTTGACCGTTGGCTATTTGATTTTCACATATGATCGGTGGCCGCAAAACAATTTTCTTCGTTTTTCCGTTTATTCTAACAACTAACTAGACTGGGAGTAGCGCACATGTACAAATATAGCGAGTGGCAAACGGCAAACGGGTTACGCAGGCCGATAGCAACTGTTGTTGTTGTTGTTTGCTGCTCTGATTAGTACACGCCGTGCGTATTGTCTTCCATGGAAACGGACGCGTTTGCGTCCAGCTATAAGCTATAAGCTGCCTTAATTTGCGTTAGGGTCCAGCGTCTCGCTCTTAATGGGCACCAACGAGGGCGGTATGTTGAGCGTCTTGCCCGGACAGGCGGCCTCATATTGATGCTTGAGGCTCTCCATCTCGTAAATGCACGTGGACAGTGCCGTGCGCAGCTCGCAGAGCAGCACCATATCCGAACGCAGCTCATTAAAGGATGTGCATATGTCTTCGGTGGGAGGTGGCGCGGGATCTGTTGCCAGGTGTCAAGCCATTTAAAGCCAATACAACTAAACTTAGATTTTATTCAACTTACCAACTTTGAACTCTTGGATGGCCTGCTCCAGCGCTTTCACCTTTCGCTGTCCTATATTCGCGGGCAGTTTCATCTTTTGCGAGCGCAACGATACCCCAGAGCCGCGCAGATCGGCAAACTTGATGCCGCTGCTGCCAATTTCGATGGCATTTACCACAGAGTCCACTTTCGAGGGTCGCGGCTGATGATGCACCTTCTTCTTGTGCAGCTTCTTTTCGTATTTACGTGTGCTTGGCGTACTGGCCGCGTGCTCGTTCTGCTGATCCGCTTGCGAGATCAGTTTTTGTAGATCTTGTGTTTTGCGCTCCCGCTCCTTTTTGCGAGCCTCAATTTTCTTCATCTCATTAATAAGCATTTGCTCCTCTTCCACCTGCTGTGTGGTGCGCTTGAAGAGTTTCTCCAGCTGCTCTTTACGCCGGCGCTCGTGCTCGGCATCATAGACATATGTTTTCTTCTCGCCGGACTGATTCTTAGCCTTGGCCAGCAGTGCGATTACTTCATAATAGCGCTCCTTAAGCTCCTCCACGGTTTTGGCGCCATGCTGCTGGCGATTCCAGCGATCCGCCATCACAATAAAGCGCAGGTCAAAGCTGGGTATGACTATTATTAGATCAGTTGGGAGCATACATATCTCACGACTTACCGTCTGGCCAGGTCAAAGAGATGATCCGTTTGCACCTTGCTCCAGTTTTGTATGTTGTTGCGCAGGTGTGCATTATACTCGGTCATTGTGTAGCTGGGTATCTCCAGTTGCTTATTGAATTTGGCGAACGGGTAGTCTGTGGAGTCGTCGCTGACGCGTTTCCAATGATGAAAAACGGCCGCATCGTTGCGCGCCGGATTCGAGAATGGCGCCCACTCCCATTTGCGCACCTTCTTCATGCCCAGCCGGGCCTTGTTCTGTTTGTAGCCCGCACCAATGCCCAGTGCAGTGTCTGTGGGCAGCAAAGGCGGTGCATCCTTCTTGTCTGTGTACAACAGCGCAAACACTTCGCGATGCATACCCTCCGGACGCCGGGAAGCATGTTTGGTACTGCATAAAAAAAAATTGTTGTACGGGATTAAATTGTGGTGTGCTATGGTACTTACCGCTCGAAATTGCGCTTCTTGGTGGCAAGAAAAGAGTCTCTGGTGATTTCAGGCGTATTCGCACGCTCAATGTCTAAAATATCACGCACATCAGCCGACATATTGCGTTAATTTTACAATTAAATAAAATATGTAAGAAATTTGCTTGTTTCGTATGCGGCTGTCGACTAGTGCTGGTTAACGTTGGACAAAGACTAATCGATAGCACTGTTAGCGCAAGAGAGCAAACTCTGTTAGGCTTCTCAGTATTGTGAGCTCTGTAAAGTGCTGAGCACAAACTCTGTTAAGTTAACAGTTGGTTCTCAAACGTGCTCGCAATTCGCGATGTTGTTTTTCTGCCCGTCTTGCGGCAATATATTAATTATTGAAGAGGACACCTCCAGCCACAGATTCACGTGCAACACGTGCCCATTCATTTCGAAAATCAAGCGCAAGATATCCACAAAAACCTACCCGCGACTCAAGGTAAGTCCAACCACAGAATGATGCAATATTTGTGTGCACTTTTCTCATTTGCCATTTTCAAACGCAGGAGGTGGATCACGTTTTGGGCGGTGTAGCTGCGTGGGAGAACGTGGACTCCACGGATGCCGAGTGCCCGGCCTGCTCACATAAGCGCGCATACTTTATGCAAATACAAACACGCTCAGCGGATGAGCCCATGACCACATTCTACAAGTGCTGCAATCACCAGTGCGGTCACACCTGGCGCGACTAGACTCATGCGCTACCTACAGACACTACTGCTCAGACGCCTCCACGGTACCCGCCCACATTTACAGTCCAGCTGCAGCAGCAGCAACAACATGCAGACAAAGCAGCAGAACCAGCCGACTCCAGTCTGTGCTGTGGCATCGCTGGATGCTCTGAAACTGGCCGAGCAGTGCCTGCATCTTGGCCAGGTTATAGCCTTGCCCACAGATACAGTGTATGGTTTGGCATGCGATGCCAACAACGAGGAGGCCATACAGCGCCTGTACGAGATCAAGGGACGGGACGAACACAAGCCAGTTGCCATTTGTGTGAACAATATTGCTGCGTTGCGTCGCTATGGTCAGGCTAGCCACTTGAGTGACGAGCTGCTAACTCGCTTGCTTCCGGGGCCACTGACCATCATCGTTGAGCGGTCGCCGCAGCTGAGCAATCGCTTCCTGAATCCCAGCACCACCAAAATTGGTATACGCATACCCGACTACAAGTTCATGCGCGATCTGTGCGCGACGTGGCATGAGCAGCCGCTGGCTCTGACCAGTGCCAATCGCTCTAGTGCGCCCAGCAGCCTGCAGGTCAGCGAGTTTCAATCGTTGTGGCCCCAGCTAGGCGCTGTGTTCGATGCCGGACGCATTGGACAGACGGAGGAGCGGCGCCTGGCCTCGACAGTGATTGACCTGGCCAAGTCGGGCTCCTATAATATTGTGCGTGCCGGTGTGGCGCTCAAGCAGACGCTGGCGGTGTTGCACGACTTTGGATACGTCAAACAGGATCTGGACACAATGTAGTTATAGTTTAATACAACAATGCTTCTACTTTGTATTCTTTTTACCGGCATTTTTACAATTTTGAACATGATTCAGCAGACGTACCTATGAACACAAAACTGATAATAAAATATATATATATATGTATATGTACAAACAGTGTGACTACTAAATGGTACCAACAGCATACGGGACTCAGTCTCTTTGGTCTAGTTGTAGTAACTGGCTTTTGCCACCTGCACGGGTCGCCGTCGTCGGGGTACTTCGTTTTTCAGCAGTCTCCAACGTTCCGGCGGCCAAACAATGGCCACCGCTCGGGCCGACATCAGGCCCAGGGCCACCGGGCCGAACGTGTTGCTGTCCAGAGAGTGACCAGTATGATCGCCCTCGACCCAACAGTGGCCGTCGGGTACACGGACTATTTCGTGCTTGTAGCCCAGCGTGGAGACGACATCGCCTTGCATGCCCACCACACGTTTGATGATCTTTTGCGCTGGATCCTTGGGCGAGATTAATGAGATGATATCGCCCCGCTCTACGGCACTGCTGTGTATGCCCCAGCGCAGCAGGAACACATAGTCACGCTCCTCGGCGACTGGATTGAGAGCGGGTTGCATAGAGGTGCCTGCATTTCGGGGGGAAAAGCTGAATGGAATATTTCTCTTTTCTTTATGGGAAATTTGAGTACAATTACCGTCAACTCTGGCCACATAGCCCACACAGTCCAGAAACGTAATGCCTAGCGGAAAACCATAGAGTAACGATTTACCAAAGCGACGAAATGCCATGACGGCATGGCTTAGTGTCTAGTTCAGGCGTTACTTTCGGCGTTCCTTCAACCGATGCCGCTGGCCGTTTGTGAAGATTTGCGATTGTATGTATTGAGTTAAATATTGCACCGCTAGCACATGTATATGTATGCACATACATATATACGATCAGTTTTTGGTGCGCTTTGCAAATGAATACATAACAATAATACATACGTACACAGCTGTTTCCGTACAATTTCTGACATTCACAATCATGCGCTGCCGTTCGCTTGAATTTTCAAACAGGGTGTCTCGCTTCGTCGTATACAATGTTTATTATAATATTTAAATTGAGTTTGTGTGATATTACAAATCAAATTCCAGCTATTGTACTATGGTTACAGGTGTTTTTTTGATTTAATTTTCGAAACGGAAACTGGAATGTGATAGGACTGCAAATGGTTGCAGTCAGCAGCCCTCCAGCTCGCTTGGAATGGGTATATCGTTTTGTATGGCAAACTGAAGCAATGCTTTGTATTTGTTTTTCCAGTTGCCAACATCCAAGCGTATCTGTTCGTTGTCATCGTGCATCTGTTCCAGCTCCGTCCATTCGTACGATTTTTTCGTTTCCAATTCGTCCTTTTGTTCTATGCGCTTGATTCGACAACTGGCCGCATAGCCCCGATTCTTGAGTGTGCGACGCCGTTGCTTCATGCGCACAATTTCCTCCCGGTTCAGTCCACGCATCTTCAGCGTTCGGTTCAGATCACGCACAGAAATCGTTACGAGCTCATCATCCGTGATATCTGGTATCGGACATGGCGAAAGTGGAGCCTGCCAACAATGGAGCACTTTGTTATACCAGAAAGCACACTATTGCCAACTGTTGTCAACTCATATGTATACTTACCAAAGAAGACTTTCTCTCACGCTTTTCCATAGCTAATTGCACAACGTTTTTAATCTACTATAATAAGTAGTTTTTTAATAGTTTTCAATTTGTATATGTTTTTGCGTATTACCATTCGCAGTAAAAACAGGTATTAAAAACAGTGTGACCAGACAGCAGTAAACACTAAAATAACCACAATAGAATAGAAAAATACTAATTGAGTGCAATCCTTTCGCACGATTTAAAAATACCGCGTTCGGTCACGCTGATAACAAGTGCTGGAAAATTGGTAAGGACAAACGGAGGAAGGAGGAAGAACTCAGCATCCAATTGCAGATGTCAATTCTAGTGCAAAGTTCTCCATTTTCTTTTTCAATTCTTGACTAATTGAACGGCGCCATGTCTTCGGCAGTAATTTACAATAATGTACCCACACCAAGTTGCATGCAAACGCCGCTTTCGGTCGCCACACCAGACGGCGGCCTACTGTATACCGGCTTTAAATGCATCAATTACATACCGGCAATGGCCGCCAACGACAAGGACGCGGCCGAAGTAAAAACCATGTCGACGCGCATAACCATAAACGGACTCGATGTCAGCCCCATGTGGGGCAAGCAACAGCACACTGAACTATTGTCAATACACGGCAAACACTTTGCCATTGTCGCAGAGGATTTGAGCGTGCAAGTTTGGGATTGCGCCCTGGGTGAGGCCATTATCGGCCACAAGGCCCATCAGCACGAGGCGCGCGATGCACGCATGTATCCACTGCTAAACGTGCTCATGAGCTATATATCAAATGGTAATATACTATCCATTGACGCCAGCGACTTGGTCATCTATTGCGTCGCATCGAACAGCTACTGCCGGCGTCCCACTTTCCTGTCGCAGCGTAACCACAACTTGACAGTGCTCCGCTGCTCGCCATACAATGAGCATCTCTTTGCTGTTGGCACATCGGCGGGCGCGATTTTGGTGTGTGATTTGCGCAAAATGTGCATTATGCACAAGCTGAACGCACATGGCCAGAATGCCAGCATTTCTGGTCTGGCCTGGCGGCAAATGTCCATCCGGCACGAAGATTCGCAACCCGATAAAGCAGAACTCGACAGCAAACCCGAGCAGTGGCGCAGTAGTCCACCTGCAGCCGCTGCCAAAGCCCCGCTATTGAAGTCCCAAGCGGCAGCTGAGGCCGACGATCTTTTCGATATTTACAATTTTGATCATCTGGAGTCGGAGTTTGGTGTACCCACTATCGTGCGACCGCGTCTGACCAGCAAATCCTCCGATGAGTGTGGCGATTTTGTGGGTCTCGAGAAGCCAAACGCTGACAGCGTGACCATCGACTACAGGGAGGCCTGCGAAGCCATGAAGGCGGAACTGGTAGCCCATCGTGAAAGCCCAGCCGATATCCAGCCTCAGGTGGAGGTTACCCTACAAGACTGCCAGCAAACGGGCACATGTGGTCCGCGCAGCGAAAACAGCAGCGGCTATTCGCAAGGCAAGCAGCAGAGCGGCACACTGGTCAGCGGCTCCAGCGAGGGCAGCCTCGAGGTCATACAGTTTAGCTCCTCCAGCGATGATGCTGTCATCGTGGACGGCGAGGCTCCGAAGCCCAAACGTGAGGTATTGCATCACATTTACCACCAGGCCGAGGTGCATGATGCACCCGAATCGCCACAGCTGCAGCTACAGGCCAAAGCCCCAGCTCAGCCGGAATCCAGCGCCAAGCTGACCCAGGAAGTCAGCATGGATACGAGGAGCCTGTGCTCAACGGAAGCGCCGGCACGTCCAGATATACTGCTGGCATCGATTAACGACAACGATATTATCATGATCTGGAATGCGCTCACGGGCGAGCATTGCGCAAAGAACTACAGCAAAAACAATTCTGCGGGTACGTGAGGAACAATTCTGACCAGGGAGCTCTCTTTAATATATCTGTATATTCTAATTCCAGCCAAGGCCAAGCAGGTGCACTGGCTCAATGACCACACCATTGTCACCCTGAGTCGCCATCAGTTGTTCTTCTGGGCAGTCGCCTACGACGCTAAGACGCGTCACTATAAAATCAACAAGGATCAGCTGCACAAGAGCTCACTGCAGGACATTATCTCGTGCGTGGTCAGCGCTGCGTACCCACAAATATGGCTCGGCCTAAGGAATCGCCGTGTGGTCATATTGAATCCCCTTAACGGACAAGTGGACGCGGTCTACGGCTGCTTGGCCTTTGGCGTGCGCGCCATAGCCGAGTGCCCCGATGATATGAACAAGTGAGTCTTGATCCTCTTGATGCTTAACTTATATTTATATATATTCTTTAATCCCTTCTAGAATCGCACTTGGCTGCTCGGACAAGCGGCTGGCGCTGTTCGACATATCCAAACTGTCGGCGCGCTGCATACCCATTGAGAGCGTCCACGTGAACAGCGTCGTCTACTCGCTGGCCTGGAGCCCGGACTGTCTGCAGCTGGCCTATGGCACCTTTGATGGCATGGTATTGTTTTAGGCGATATTTATTCGTGTTGGGCGCGGCACAAAAACCAAAACGAAACTACATAAATATAAATTTGTTTACAGGTGGGCATACTGGATGTGGAGCGCATGAGGGTGAAGACAACGTTTCGCCCGGTGCAGAAAAAGGAAATCTATTCGATAATGTGGAAGGAGAACTATATCTACTTTATAGTGAATCGTCTGCTGGGCATCTACGACGTCTCGCAGCCCAAGAAAGGTGAGTGAGCGTCTTCAATTCCTATGGCGTGTGTTGTAAGTTTGATT